GGCATATCGGATATCGGCCAAAATCCCAATATCATGCATCTCTAGTTTTTAGCAAATGATCTGTTTTATACAGCATCTGATTTTACCCTGACAGTTTGCTGCTCCTGCTAGCTTCCCATTCTCACTGTGCCCTTTATTAGCATTAGTATACCTACAACTGTTTCACATGTGTCTTCATAGGACCACAAACCTCAATGCATGTTGGGATTTGATGTGACACAGATGTGCAACATAGATATAGAGTTACAGGAGAATCAAAGGTTGTCCCTCTTTTCCAGGCTAAATACACACAAGTCTCAGTCAGCCTTTTTTATGCTCATATCTCTAAATAAAGTTCCTCCAAACCAACAGCAGCCGAGGTGATGTAGGGAAGGTGAACAGAGGGAATGTTGGAGTTAAATAAAGGCTGCGACTGATCTGAACCTCCTTGGAAAATAACCTTCTTCCAGTCCGACTGAGCGTCTGCTGGGCTGAACTGTAAATTTCTACATGTGTGAAGCTCATAGACGCATAAACTGACTGTAGGATCTTTATATTTGTAGTTGTAATAAAATGTAAAAAAGGTTATTTGGATGTTTAAGTGTCAGACTTATGCAGATAAATCTGCTGTTTGCAAATTGTTTCCAAAAGATGCGGTAAAAAATAGAACCATTTTCATTTTCATCAAAATTTTTTATTTTTTTTTTTTATATCCATGCACAGTGGCTGCTGAGGTAGCAATAGATTTCAAAATGATTCCAAACTAGCATCCTCCTCCCTCTGCAGATAATATCTCAACAGTCAGTCACTCCACAAAACACATTTGAGCCTTTTCCTACTTTGCCATTTCTCTTTCTGAGCACGCTGACCCTCTGCTTTAGCTTCTGATGGAAAGCGCCGGATGCAGCCGTGCAGAGTTCCTCTTTCCCTTTTTGCACAAACTCAGTTATCCCTCCTTGATTTACCTTCATCATAATCAGAGGCACCGCCTTATATTCTTGTTCTCGTTAAACCAGTAAAGGAAGTCAGCCAAATACTGTAATCATTGTGTTGTTTTCAAGCGATGCTGAATGCTCTATTTGTTAGCAGGAGACAGTCGATTGTGAGCGATGTTGATTACTTCCTGAACGGTCAATCATTTACACAGTAATGTCCAATCAAGCTTTCATGCAAACTACTGTGCAGAAAAAAGGCCATTACCACCCTAATGGTCAGAAAGTATGAGGAGCAGAAGGAAACTTGTTGTGCTGCTTATAATAATGTTCCAAAGGAGACAGGATGCAATAAATAACTAAAAAGGTTTATTTATTTTACTTCAGGCAGAAAAGTAGAAGTGCATGGGTCTATATTTTGGTGCACAAACGGCATCTGTTCTGCGTAGTTCTGGATTAAAGAAGGAAAAGAGAAAACGATCTTTTAAAGATCAGATAAATAAAAACAGACTAGTCTGTTTCTTTCCACCTTATGCTGCTTCAGGCTCTCATGTCATCTCCTAATGCATGTAAAAATGATCTGAACTATAGAAGCAAAACACGTCTCATAATATACCAGCAGCAAATATCCATTTAGCTTACAGACCTCATCTCTGCATCGTGTTTTAATGGGAATGTAAACTCTACTGTTTGTGTTTTCATGGAAACATATTCAGTGGAAAGTAGGGAAGCATGCATCCTCGACAAAACAACGTTTGATGATTTTATATTTCCTGAAAAATGTTCTATTTTGGGAGATCCAAGGTTTCTGTCTGACAGCAGCGATAAGTTAATGTTTCTTTTCTTCTTCCTAATAATCCTCGCTGTAATGAATGCATCCAGTCTGACTGTAAATAATCACCAGTATAAAAGAGAATCAGGCAAAGCATTCGAACCGGCATCAGGGTGACTGATGCATCCGATGGGGGAACATGTGATGGTCAGAATATACTGTGGTTTAGAGGAAACCAGTCAGGATGCCCTCAGAGTCCCAGTTCAGCATCAAGCATACTACCAATGAAAACACAAGCATCTGAACTGGACCCTGCAGCAGTGGAAAAAACAGCCAAGTGGGATGGTTTAATATTCATGGCGCAGACAGTAGGCTGCTTGTGCGTCGGTGGAATCAGGAAAAGGATGCAAACAACCTGAGGCAGTGTCCTCTTTGGGCAATGGTAGCAAACTTTGAGTCCATCTAGATGCCACGTTTACCACCTATAGTCAGAATTACAACCAAACACATTTAAAGAAGCTTCTACAGGGTTGATGGCCTGATGGCTGGAAGGTAAATCACTGCGGCTTCAAACAGCCGGTCCAGCGTCTGCAGGATGTGACGGACAAACAGCCCTGATCCATGAAGCGCTCAGCTTTTAAACCTAAAGGATCTAAAGGTGACATCTTGATGCCAAACAATCATGTTAAAGGAATAGTACACCCAAAACATGATTAGCCTTCATTTTCTACTCCCCCCCATGCTGAACAACACTCTGGAGTACTTTTTTGATATCTCAAATGCATCTGGAGATCTGGGAGGCTTCTT